ACTGTTGAGCATATTTTAAAAATAGTGTAGGTTTGGCAGCTACAGTTCCCAACTTTCGTACAAAATATGGTCGGAATAGTGATTTAACTTCATCAACTGGTGTTAAATGGGTGTCCCAAATTTTATTTAAATTTTTTGTATCCTCACAATAGTCCCATATTATCGACAACTTTATCAACACCCTGTACAATCATAATTACTCTTTTCTTTTTAGGGTTGCTCAAATACATCTACATAATAAATTAACAAAATGCTGTTCAAGAATGTTACTTTTTTCAATATAGGTTAACTGAAAGTTCCAGGCAATAATGATTGCAGAAAAAGGGGCTATCCTAACCATAAACTGTACTTTAGATTAGCAGATATTAAAAAGTTTTTTATTTGCATCAATAAAAATGGCCTTAGTAATGCCATTATAGGGTCAACCGAAAATAGATACATTTTTTAAGACGTTAGAAAGTGAACGTGGGCTGATTCTAAGAAATTTTGAAAGAATTTGTCTGGGTAAACAATTTTTTATTTCACTGCATACAAAAAATACCCTTCCGAGGAAACTTTTCTGTATAATAATTGTATTTATAATCTTACGACCACGTGAATGGAAATTTGACAATAATTGAAAATATTCGAGATTTGGGATGAGGCATATTTTGAAAGCAAAATGTTCCAAAGTATTTTTAACTAAGCAGGATCGTTTTCCAAAGTGCCTATTTTGTTTTTATTTATTTATTTATTTCGACTCAAAATTTTTTTAAATCCATTTAGAGTTATCTCATGCATATTAAATGTTGGAAAAGGATTAGTTATTGGAGTTTCTTAATTGGTATTACTGGCACAATTGAGTTCTAAAGATAAACAAATCGTCCACTATATTCTATCTCTATTTACCTCGTTTCAATTCTGTCCATGAGTAACACTATATTTTGTATCTATTTTTAGGACAAAATTACGAAATTTAGGATGTTAGATATTTTAGTAAATAAAGGGTGTCCCAAAAGTAACGCAGAATTTGAATTGTGCGCTATTTTCATTCCGAAGAGTTGACAGCATTTTGCAGGACCACATGTTGTAATAAACACGTTGTGGTTAGAAAAAATGGAGCGCTATAGGGCGCACGAGCGAGAGAAAATTGCGAAAATTCATTACAAAAAAGAATCACCCACACTCATTGCCTATACAGTGGTCGTTCTTGAATGACCCGAACATTTTCTCTTCTCCAAATTTAACAGTTTTACTTGTTCATGTACCCACTAAGATGGAAATGCTCTTCGTCGCTAAAGATGATTTTTTTAGTAAAATTACCGTCTACTTGATGATTCTTCAACATCCAATCAACGAATGTCCCGCGCATTAAATAATTTTAACTCCTGGGTTAGTTGTTCTGGAATGGATGCAGATGCAGATATTTTGTTAAAATCCGCTGCGTTGTACATTTTTAAAATGTTTAATTGCAGTGACCGACGGCGTACTGAGATTACATGAATTTCCGACACACTATCACTCACGGTAGCAATATTTTTGTCTGAACGGCCAGTACGAGGCCGGGCTGTTTTTTATTGCCTGCAACCGAATCTGTTTGTTAAAATTTGTCGACTAATTTCAGTTATTTCAATCGGGGCGTTCCTTCTACCGTAAATTCCACGTAATTTGTGCACAGTCTCAGCTACACACTCTCTGTACTTGTGATGAATTTTCACCAGTTCAATTTTTCCTAATTTTCCATATTTTTCTTCTGATAGCGACCCTTGGAAACGCACCCCTTGGCGCATCGGTCCCTCAGCGATGCTCGTCAACGGGCCTAGCCAATCCGACTACAATGAGACATCTCCACTAATAATGCTAATAATCAAAATTCCTGTCACAAATTTTGTGGCATTTCGATGCAGTTAATCAAAATTAATGCGCGGAAATCTAATATTATCAGAGAATTAATTCATCACATAAATGTGATCTGAATGCCATCATTGGGAGCGACATTAATATTAAACAGAATCGAAATGAAAATTCCAGGCAGCAATAGTTATTACGTAACAGAGCTCGATATTCGGTCGGGCAATAACATCAAATGCATTTCGGATTAGTCCAGATTAGTAAGTTTTTTTATTTGTACCAATAAAAGAGGTTATCGAGTAAAACTAACAGAATCGGATCCCAATAAAACTGTTTTTTAGGATGCAGAAACTGATTTCAACGAAGTTTTGAGACTGGAGGGAAACGGAAAAAGCAACGAACTTTGACCCTCCGCATATTCTCAAGGGTAGAATATATTTAAATGAAGTTTCATTCAGCGGCGAATGCATGATAAGTATGTAAAATATCAGAAAAAAAGTGAAAGTCCGTGGGAAATGGAATTTCAGTTCCATTCTAGAATTTTAGGGGTTACTACGTTGTATTTAAAATTTAATTTCTAACAAATAATTTCTATAATGTTTATGTGTAAAATTAATAGTTTTTACTCACTTACTTTATTTTATCAATATTTTTTTCTTCTTAGAAGTGCCAAACGGAATTAAATTCGCTTATCCAATTACGAGAATATCCAGTGGCGTCGACAATCTGAGAATCTAATAGAAGGTATCTCCCAGCATCTCCGCCACTGATTGACAGATTAATGCAGCAAATGAACTTTTATCCATAAGAAAATAATTCATTACCCCAAAATTGTTGTACTCTTAAAAACAATGAACTTCAACCAACGATAAAAATATCCATCCATCACAGCTTACTAGAGCAAGCCAGTGAAGATCGACACTCTCGGCCCTCATTCAAAGCAACCCACTGTTTACAGATTATCCCTTTTGTGCAATTGTTGCCCCAATTTGCCAATTGATACATCAAAGAGTCCGGGACGCTGCATTCAGGTAATGATTGCGAAAAAAGGACCGCTCGCCAGGATATACCACTAAAACCGTAAACAAACCATTTATGTCATTGTTATCAAAAATAAATCTTATTAGGGGTAATAATAAAATGAGTTGTGCAAAGCTGGAATAATCTGCTGTGTATTTACAAAATTGTATTATAAATTGTGTATTTGTGAATTTGGGGACAGTACACTCAGTCTGGTGCTTTAGTAAGGAGCGCTTCTATCTGTGTAACCTAAGTTTGTTTTTGCAAGTTCAAGGTATGAATTATTTTAGCACAATTTTACAATTTTATTTCTTATGTAGAATAATTGGTCATAAGTCGCGTTAGCAATTTTTAGTACAGTAAATTTAATACAAAACGTACCATTACCATGCAGATAATTGTATGGTCAGTTGCTGAAATAGTAAAAATGCACTCTTTACTGTTACTTATTATTGTTACACTTACATAGAAGAGATGGCATTTGTCGAGTGAAGTGTTATTATTTCATTTAAATATTTAGTTAATGGTCTTGGTCTCTTTATTGACCTGGATTAGGTCAGGAATTTATGTACAATAATTGTGTATATATTCATACATTATTGTAATAAATAAATGATTTCGTATTTCCTTTTAAAGAAAATATTAAAAGTGACTAACTTTACATTTACACGCAGATAAAGGGTAATAGATTTTTTTTATACTTTCTAATCTAAAAAGTCATTTTATTTTAGTTTAGTAAAAATATTAAATCAACAATAATGTAGTAAACCTTCCGAGAAAATATTTCCTTTATTGTTTCATTATGATCAAACAACAACAGCTTTGAATTTATTAAAAGGATAGCTTAATAAGACAATACTAAAAAAAATCCTCTATAGTGATGAAACAGCTTATAGTCCAGACTGTATCTGTTTCAAAAAGCCATATTTAGGTGAATCGTATATCCACGGAGTTTTTTGACTTTTTGGATTTCAAATATCACTAGAAATGAAAATTTGTCTATGCGCATAAAAAAAACTTCATGTTATGTAGAATTATCACACCAAATTTCATCAAAATCGGTTAGATAGATTTTGCATAATAATTTTGCAATCCAGATTTTGAAAAAAATTTGCAAATTTTCAAAATTTTGCACAGCGAAAACCAAGGCCCTTAGATACTTGAAAATGTAATCACATATAGAAGGGCTCTCAAGCTTTCAAACTTTTTTTNCACGAAAAACATTAACACAACGCTGAACTGCACTTTGAAAAATTTTGTACTCAACAACGCCGGGAAATTGATTTTGAAATTCTATGAAACATTCCTCAATAGAATACTTCCATATTCCATCAATCTTGCGTCCATTTCTAAAGTAGGACTCTATGATAAACACTTTTTGTTCTTGAGAAAACACCATTTTAAACGCTTTTTAAAACGAAAATATTCAAATTGATAGCGGCGATATAGCGCTTTGACAGATGATGTTTAAGTTCATTTGCTATACGCTACGCCCTACGTCCAAATTTTCAGAACCAACTTGACCACGTTTTTATTTGAACGCTCGTTAAATAATTAGAATAACTTTGTAAATATCCAAACAAATCAAAGTTTTTAAAGCAGGTTTTAAAAGTTCTAGGTAGGTACAAAATGTCAATTATTTTGAAAAACCGTTATTTAGAAAAGTCAAATTCAATTGCTTCCGCAGCTGGCTATCATTTTTCAGAATAAAGCTACTGAAAGTAGGGTTAATCTTTTTTTATGTTTTTCTAGCAATATTTCTAATGAAACTATAGACTTCTTTATACTCGTATAGCTAAATGCAGAAAACAATATCTTCCAGAATTGATAAAAAAATATTGAACAAAAACAGTTAACTATAGCAATTTTAACATATGTTACCATGGAGACGATCTAACAATGTCCTTTGACAGAGTTTGAGCGGCGATATAAAAATATATAGGGTTTGTTATAACTATCTGATAAAACAAAAGAGATACGAGGCCGCGAATATCAAACTGAATCACCCGGTATAAATATTTCATTCCAGAATTGAATGAGTCATAATTGAATGAGTTTATAATTTGGTCTAACTTAACGTACTTTTAGCTTTTATTTACATACTTTGATAAAGTAAAATTATAGAAAATATTGATTTATTTCTTCTGCAGATGGAGCTGCTCTCGGATCCTCAAAGGATTCGACTTTTCCATGCTTTTCCTGGTACAATATATCCCGGAACTTCTTGTTTTCCACAATATAATTACAGTTTTAGTTCTCACTTGACATTATTAAGACCAACCCCACCAAGCCTTACAGGAAATAATATAAATTACCATCCACCATACTGTTCTTCTCCATTTAATGGTTATTCCCTTTCTCATATCGCTAACAACGCAACATTTCCTTCATATTTACGGACTCTACCTGTCTCACAATCGGAAACATTTCAATCTCGATTTCCCATAACATCCAGTCCCAACAGAGAAACTTTTTCTAGACTATCCACGCCAAAAACGGTCATTTCCGAATCACTATCGTCGACCAACTCTAGTAGGCCGTTCACCGCATACCCGTTTCCTTGTCCACTTATACCATCACAGAATAAAAACTATTCTTCGACTGAGGCCTATGAAGAATTTAGGGAAAAAGTGCTTTCTCAGTTCAAAACAGTTTCCGCCAAGCGTAGAGGTAGAGCTTACGAAGATGATAAGAAAGATTTGAAGAGGAGGAAGAACAACGAAGCGGCTAGGAAGTCTAGGGAAGCGAGGAGGGTCATGGAGGATGAAATTGCCATAAGGTGTGCGTTTCTTGAACGGGAAAATGATCAGATAAGAGCTAAATTGGTTGATTTAGAGATGGAAGCAAAAACGTTGGAACGACAGTTATTAAATAGATAACAGGATAATAATTTTGTCTGCAGTTTATGACATAGTTTTCGTTTCGTTCTTTATTTTTTTGGGTATTTTGCCAAAAATAATTTAAAATTTGCGCCAAAACGATCAGTCAACAGTTTTCAGACGAGTAATAGGTACTTTGCAGAGTTTATTGTCAAAGAGGCGCCCAAATAGTGATAATCAAAATTAAAAAGATTGCATTTATAGCATATCCTGTGAATTTGTAAACATTAAGTTGGAGAGACTTCTCGATCTGTGAATATTAGAATAGATGAACACAAAACTCATTAAAAAACGATAATTTGAGGAATCTAAAATTCTAAATCCAAATCTGGGATCATGCTTGGGAAAACAGTCATATAATTCTATGGGTTTCGGTAAAAATTTTGGAAAAGGAAAATAATACCGCTAAAGGAGCATTCTAAAATATTTAGGTAAATAATAATAGAATAAGCATCGTATGATATTTTTACTAGAAAAAAGTAAACAAATATAAACTGATGAAGTAACTAAAACGAAAAGTCAAACTGAGTTTAGAAGACAAAAACAGATAAATTTTCAAAACGTTAACAACTTTTCAAAGTGCGCGATATAAAGTGAGGTGTATTTGTCTGTTTTTTTCAGTGTGAGATTTTTTGGTTGGGCAAAACTATTTCCATAAAAATAACCCTTGATTGATCTTTTTGGTGTTTAGTTTATTTCACTAATTTTTAAATTTTTTACAGGACATAAAATACCCAAAAAATTAAGAAAAAAAGGATAATAATGTCTATAAAGAATACTTATTTAATTGTCTGTGATTTTAGAATATTAATGTGATATCTAGTTAGAGATTGTAATAAAAGCTCAGAGATTATTTAGAAGTTTTTATAATTTTACATAGATGTAGATACCTAATTCCATTTTTAAAATGGAAAAAATATTAGAAATGTTGACTATAATTGATATAGAAAATCTCAAACTTCCTTGGTTTTTCAAAATATCTGTAAAGTCTAAAGTTTTTGTAAATCTTTACAAATTAACTTTTGCAGTTCCAATAAACAAGAAATTTTGCTCACCGCATACATACCGTCCAGATTTTTTCAAGGAAATCTATGTATTGTAGTTTGTTTTGTAAAATTATTCACAACTATGATACGTACAGCTACTAAGAACAACACTTAACACATCTGCATATGTGACAAAACGAAAGTTAATATGTATAATATAGATCTAAAAGTCACATATACAAGAAACAATTGTCACTACGTATGTCAAGGACAGATCTAGCTCAACATTTGAAAAAATCTTTAAATAATTTCAAACAGAAACACCATTATGGTAAAATACGTTTCAGTAAATATTTTTAAAATATATGCTTTCTATCACAAACAGAGAGGTTGATATAAATTACCTATATAATTCATAGGGCAATAATATTAATTTTAATAGAGATAAAAGTAATACATTTTTTATGGAATTGTATGAAAACATTTCTTTTTTATATGACTACATTTGTGACATTTTTTTTTGCACAATGTCACAATAATACAGTAGTACATATTTTGTAAGACACTTTTTTCTTTTAATTTTTTAAATCAAGGTATTTTTCAAAAATTATTGCCTAACAACTGTACCTTACATATACAAAGTGTACAAAATTAATGAATTAATGAATTAATTCATTTTAAGTTTCCAAAATTGTTCATTCAATCAAATTCTTTTGTATATGCATTTTATTTGTGGACAAATGTGAATTAATAATATAATTATAATTATACTATAATTACTTAAAAAATAACTTGATGTCACGAAATCTTTAGCTATAATTACTCAAGAACAGACTGTTGTATAACTGTAATGCTCTATTATAATGGTGGGACCAATTTTAGATATCTTGCAAGAAAATAAAATTGGGTAGACAATTAAAAACTAAAGCTGAATCACTTCAAACTGTAAGCACTAGAGTATAGCCAATCATTTTAGCCCCTGTACATACGTAATAAGTTAATATCAGAATGAGAATAACTAAAAATTAATAAAATAATATAATAATAATAATCATTTTATTCCAACGGACTATACAAGATAGTATGGGAAAAAAAGAAGTGTATGACAAAATGGCGTTTCTGGAATAACTGAAACAAAACGAACTATTGAATTTTGGGAACCCAAAATATACTTTCTTCTGAGAACTTTACAATTATATACATATGTTACAGCATTTTAATTCTTACTTAATTTGAGATTTTCCCAGGATAATTGTCCTTTCACGTACTAGTTATTACCTGTAAAAGATATTACAAACCCTTTGGGAGTATTATTATATTAGGACAATTGGATGAGCCTGTAACGTATCTGTTGTTGTGTTTAACCAATTTTATCTAATATCTAATATGTTCAGGATTAAAAGGATTTGGACTGAATTTAGTCAAGATATACACAAAGAAACAAACAACCTCTTTTCATACTGCAAAATAACGTAGCAACTCATATATAAAAATACGTCAACGAGTGATTTCTCTTCAATTGAATAAGCCATTAATCCAAGTTCTACAGCAAGCACCATCAGAGATATTTTAGAAAATGTCAAATGTTTTACAGATTTTAACACTCTCTCGAGATCGCTTCGGGATATAAATTTTTTTCCTGTCCTTTCCTATTAATGTTAAATCACCCTGTACAGCTAATATATGTACATATTTAATAAAATAATAACTTTTTATCCACATATTCGTTAAAATTCCCGAATATAGAATATTTGTACACGAAAAACCTGTTAGAATTTCATCAAATGGTAATAAAGAAGATTCGACAATTTAAAGTTAAATTTCAAAAATCTTTTTTACATTCACAAAATTATTTTTGCCGCCTTTGAGAAATTTAATAATATTGTACGAATTTTTTGGTTTTTGTATTAAGGTTAGGTTAGGATGGGATAGAGAGAGGTAAAAGTAAATTTTCTCTAAGCTAACGTTTTCCAAACACTAAATATGCAATTAACGACAAAAATGGTCGATTGAGGACAAGTTTGCAAATTCAAAGGATTGTTGGTTCTTCCGAGAACACTGCCAAATTTTGTTTAAAAGAAGGCACACTTTTAAGGTATCTTTCTTGGAAAATTCTCTAGCATATTATAAGTAATCCTTTCTTTACATATTTGTACACTGGAAAGGACCAGCAACCATATTTCATAATTCTGAAACGGTTGTTGTGAATTTGTTTGAATTCATTTTGTTCATTGTGGTACTGAAATCTTTTGAAGAAATTAAGAGAGAGATGTTATCAGAAGTTACGGTGAAAAATAAATTGTAGGAATCAAAATTTGATTGTACTATTTTTTCACTGACACGTTTTCTAATAAGTATAATTCATTTCTTTTTATATTACTTTTGTTGAGTTGAAACATTGTAAACACAGGTCATGAATTTTAATAAATATATTGGTGACCCTACTTTATATTCCCTAATGGTCTTATACTAGTTGTGCAATATTAAATTTCTTAAGATTTCTCAGGTAATATAAGTAAATCCGATTATCTGTAAATTGGATTATACAATTTTATTAGGTACTATGAATTGCTAAAAGTTTTAGAAAATAATATATAGGGAAGACAAATATATTAAGAGATATATCTTTATCCAAAAAGCACAAATTAATTTTTATATATATGTATACAATTAAGCTTTATGTATTTTCCTTTCTTCGGACATCGGATATTAAAGCAGTTATAGTTTTATTATAATTTTTTTACATACATTTCAGGAATGCAGCCATCTTCAGACCAAATACTGCACTGTGTAGCCATCGAAAGATGTGGTTAGATGATACCTAACAATGGTTTAAAATTAAACATATAATTTTTAAATTAAAAGTTAGAAAAAACTATGTGTGTATGTGTTTCATTTTATTAAATGTATCTTAACAAATTTAATTTTTATTAATTACACAGCCCCACAAAAAAAGTATCGGATCTGGTATTCAGACCCATGTATTTCCATGTATTTTTTTTCCGCTGAATCCGAATCTGCCTTCAGATTTGGCTCAACGGGTCTGAGTTTTCGGGAAAATTAAAAAAACTGGTCAAAATTTACAAAAAACGTCATTTACGATCGACGAAAGTTATAAAAAATCAAATTATTCTACCAGCTCACTAGACGTATGATTTTTCACTCGTTTAATTCCAATTTATCATCATAGAGTCAGACAAGCTGGTCCAATTTCATTGAAAAACAGAAAATAAATCAAAATGCCATTTCCATGGCATAATTCGTGTTGCAGAGTTCTGGATCCATCTTTTTATCCACCCACCTATTTATGAATTCATACATCTTTCTATCCAGTCGTTCATGTATGAATACGCATTAAAAAGAGAAAAGAGAAACGAAAAATAGAGGGACTAAACGAAAGCGTAACCCTTTGCATAGATCCTTTGAAGAAAAGAGAACACGTTATAGCAACAAAAATAAGAATGATTTGTAGATATCGTTTTCTTTTGTTTAGAAAGTAGAGTATTCTACAAGTTTTATTGCATTCTCAATCTTCTAGGCTGTTATCTCATCTCTCAGCACGAAAAGTAGATGGATAGATGGGTGGATGGGTGGGTTTTATAGGTGGTGCAGGTGGATGGATGGAAAAATGTATGAATTCATAAATTGGTGGATGGACAAAAACATGGATTCAGAACTCTGCAACACGAATTATGCCATGAAAATGGAGTTTTTGATCTATTTTCTGTTTTTGAATGAAATTGGGCCAATTTGTCTGACTCTATGATGATAAATTGGAATTAAACGAGTGAAAAATTATATGTCTAGTGAGCTGGTAGAATAATTTGACTTTTTATAACTTTCGTCGATCGTAAATGACGTTTTTTTGTGAATTTTTACCTGTTTTTTGAATTTTTTCGAAAACTCAGAAACGTTGGGCCAATTTTTTAACGGTTAGGAAATTAACAGATTTATTAACATTATGTGCAATTTACAAAGCTTATCTACCTATTACAGTTTTAAATAAAACGTTTTACGTTTATATGGTCTATGTTATGGTAAAGTATTTTTATATAATGTAATATAAAGAAATAAAAAACAATTATTACGGAGTGACATAGGTAGTATATTTTAAATTGGTGACATTACATACACATTTTTACGTATAAAATATTTGCAAAAAAATGTACTTTCATCATTTAATTTCACTTCTCTATGCATATTTAAATTAAATATATTAAATTTGGCAGGACAATCACAATGATACGAATATACAGATTTACACACAAGCGTTCAAAAAAGTAAATATATAACACACTATCTTCTGAATATCAAACTTTTTAATCTTTCTACGTCCATTTCCACTGAAGCCAAATTAGCTTTAAGTCTAATATTTTCCTGCTCCAAGAAAGCGCACCTTATAGTAATTTCGTCCTCCCTGGCCTTCCTGGCCTCCCTTGATTTTTTCGCGGCCTCGTTGTTCTTCTTCCTCCTCTCTAAATACGAAGGGTCGGCGTGTCTCTCGTCTAGATTCTGATACCTCCTCATATTCATATTTGTCCCTTTATTATCTTCAACTTTTTCTAACATCTTTCTCCTGAATTCCTCGTAACTGGGTTCTGTCCCCCCAGGAGATTCTGTTCGTAAGGGGTCAATTTTCGCGAAAACATTTAAAGTGAAAGCTAGCGGGTTTTTTGGAAACGCTTTGAATGGTCTTGGTACCTTTGGACTGTTTCTAGGGCAGTTGTTGTCAATTACCAAGGGAGACTTGGAGGTCTCTGAGTCTTCTGAACATTCAGACATGTTTCTAGGCATACGGGAGTGGTGCAGAGGTTTATCATATACAGGGGAATGTTTTGGGCTGGGGTAGTTTAAGGTGTAGCATGGAGGTTCACCTTTTTTCTTCACGCATAAGTCCAGGACTGGGGGATCGTGATCCAGATTGAATGATTTTGGAGTTGGTCTGTTGCTTACTAACAACGAATTATAAGCGGCAGGCCCAATGGAGTGCATCTGAAAAAAGTTTTTTTTAATAAAAGAATCATAATTTCCTTAAATAGAATTTTTATTAACTGTTTCATGGTTTGCAAACTAGTATTTAATAATTATTTTGCACACATATAGATATAATTACATTTAATTATGTAATATTGAGGAATATTGAGAATATTGAATATCGAGGAAAAAGGAATAAAAAAAGTTTCATCAGCTAAAACTCCTTGTTTATACAGAGTGTAACTAAAATGCTATACAAACCTTCATCATCATCTACACCACATCTGAATAATAATGTTCCTATAAACACGATCAAAAAGAATTTGTTTTCAAAGGTACTGTGTGTTAATACATTATTTGTGTTTTTTTAAATTTCAATACGGCTGAAGTGATTTTAAAAATTTGATGATTTTGTTATTTGTCTGATTGTCTAGGAACCAGTGTGTACTTAGCCTTACTAATTATGATAGAATATTAAAGGCTTTACAAAAACATGTTATTGTGTGCATGTCTTTTGTATGTACTGTTTTCGAGATAAATACGAGTAGTAAAACATCATACCTATATACAGGATGTTAATGATATGCTCTGCCATACTTTAATGGTTGATTCTACGTTACAAATCAATGAAAAATGGCAGAATGTTGCCCAAGCTGCATATCTGAATAAAAGTGGATACATTTTTCTCAAATTTCAATACCTTGTATTGAGAAAACAAAGTGTTTCTGGATACATGTTTAAGGGAACATTTTTAATGATTTGTGACATAGAATTGACCACTAATGTCTGACAGAGTAAATCATTAACATCTTTTATAGGTAATTAAAGCTAAATTAATTTAATTTGAATTAATCATATTAATAATAATTCAAGTGATCACGTTATCCATGAATGAAGTAAAATATTATTTACATGGCTTTCCACAATTGCATTGTGCAACTTGAAATAATAGTTTTTAACCAATTTTTGAAAACAAAGCATTAATTTGTAAAATATATCTTTAAAACTTGACCCAGCATTTAGTTACACTTTGTATATTGTCTTTATTAAAAACTGAATTCAATGTTTTACTGTTTTAGCGAGGACTTTTAATGATTATCAGTAAAGCGTTTCCACAAAACATACCTAGGAAAAATATAACACACCAGTATTTCAATGACATCTATAACTTTTTTAACTTGAGTATTCCATTGTCATTTCAAAATACATCTATATGCAGGCAAAAGGTGACAGAAAGAGAAATAATTTTATATGCTAAAAAGTAAATCATATAAAAACAAGAAAACATTTGATTTGAATCTAATTTAAAATGAATTAGCAAAGAAACAGCATTATTTTATTGAATTAATATCAAAACTTTTTTTACATCGCTACAAGTTTTTTCTAAATACTTGATTATTATATTAAAGTGATGTATTTCTTCAATATTAATTCTTGGTGAACCCTAGTAATTGCCATTTAGAACAGATAATAAACCAAATTTTCAAGGATCGGTTCTAGAATTGGTTATTTCAGCATCTGTAAACTAATAAAAATTACGTACCTTGAAGAAAAACAAAACACTGAAACTTCTTTCTGTTGCCGAAGGTTTTCAGGAGGCAGGAGACTAAACAGCCCTTTTGGAGATTCCGCAAAACTGATCGAAAATTTTGCAATAATAGCCACTACGACAGGCCAAGGACGATAGGTGTGGCCAAAGCACTTCCAGAAGTGAACACTAGAGTACCACCCACTCTTTCGTCATTTGGCACAATTTCTGGGGTAGTTTTGCGAGGGTGCACCGTTACCTAGCCCAGAGAGAGATAGAGAGAGTACCGTTTTGCATACCTGGATTTATGGGTGCTTTAACATGAAATTTGCATTGACGAAAATTTTTGTGTAAATATTTCGAGGAATTTCCAATATTATTTTTTACGATTTTTTGCTTTTGCTTTTTATGACTTTAAAAACTTGGGGACCGGGTCGTAGGCTTCTTTTGCTGTGCAAAATATGCCACCCATAGGCGGGTATAGTCCATTTTTCAGAGGATATTAAATGTGCAAGTATATATTTGATACAGTAGATCATGGAAATTTATTGGACACATTGGAGAACATGGTCAGTGTGTCAAGATAAGTAATAATTTTAATGGAACTACTACAGTAAATTATGGGGTACCACAGGGTACTGTTTTGGAACCTATCTTATTTATACTTTATGTAAATATCGGCTTTTACGGACAATAAAAAGTGATTAATTTTGTAGACTGTATCAGTCGGTATTATTCTGTAAAATCAATACGTTTGATAATAAAAGTTGTCCTGTGAAAATGAATGGGTCTCCTAGTATTTGGTTACTTCAGGTTCAGCTACTTAAAAAAAATAATATTGTATTCAGTTTTTCTTGTTTAGCTATTTTTTTGTTTTTTTAAATTATTTTCTTTATTCGTTGTTCACTATTAATTTTAAAATGAATTATATATTACTTTTTACAGGTTTTTTTTGCGAAAACTGTGATAAATCAAAATTTAATAATATAGGTAATATTCTTTATTATCCGTATTATTATCCTTAAACTTGAAATATAAAATTATTGCAATTTTTATTCATCCACATACAAAACCCCACACAAAAATGGTCCAACATTTCTTTGTGGGTTTTACTACGTTTATGTATACAGTGTGTGTACTTAAGTTGGAACCATATGGAAAACTTTTTTATTATTGGTTTCATGAAAAAAGGTTATTCTTCATAAAAAGTTCTGCATGGTCAAATCTAAAATGCAACCTTCAGTTACTTATCAAAATTTCCTAGTCATATACGAGCTATATCAGAAATTATGAATTTTGCTCAAGCGTAAAGTACCTTTATTTTTGACAATACAGAAGAAAAGTTATTTTGAATTAAAAGTTATTTTCAAATATGCAATTACAGCCATTTAGCATGAAGATTCAGGTTTTGTGATTATTTACGTTTTACATTATAAATTATTTGTATTAATCTCTCTTATCTGTTAAAAATATGATAACATTTCCATTTGTTAATGTTTATTAACAACCTTGCAATTTAATAATAATAATAATAATAATACAAATAATTCATAATGTAAAACGTAAATAATCACAAAACCTGAATCTTCATGCTAAATGACTGTAATTACATATTTGAAAATAATTTTTTAATTCAAAATAACTTTTCTTTATAACATTCTTCTGTATTGTCAAAAATAAGGATACTTTACTCTTGAGCAAAATTCATAATTTCTGATATACCTCGTATATGAAGAATAACTTTTTTTCATAAAACCAATAATAGAAAAGTTTTCCATATGGTTCCAACTTAAATAGACACCCTGTATATGTGTTTGCTTTGCTTCAGAAAATGATTATAATTATTTTTGCTTAAAAAACTTACTAAATTTCTGACAGTGTAGTAAAAATATAAAAAAATTAAAATGAAGAAATATATAAGATATAAAAATTTACCTAAAGAGAAACATATTTTTCACGAAAAATTGTTTGAACAACTACTGTAATTATCATCCATTACTAAAAAGAGTGTACATTTCTCAAGAAATTAAACATTAAAAAAGTAATTTAATCTTGGCATTGATAAGTTTGCTTATTTCAGGATACATTTTTGTTAATTAAGTTTGTAGAAAACCCTTCCAAAATTAAAAAATAATTATATATTTTTTTGGTAAATAATATCTATAATTTTCTTTAGTGTATAATTATTATAAGGTACGAAAAGATTTTTCACAAAAAATTCAAATAAACCCTTTTTAAATATATTTGACAAATATAGACATCAAGATTTTATGGTATTTCAAAAATTCCATAAATTCATCTTAATGATCTGTGCCTCGATCTTTGCTAAGGACCAATTTCGTAGAAATAAAACCAGCAATCTAGAAATATAAATATCTATTTTCCAAATGAAGTACTAAAGTCTATATTTACAAACTAATTACCTACCCTAATGACAAGAATGAGATCACAATTGTATAATATTTACGCTACCCTAAAGATAACTAATGATAAACCATATCGTACAGTCTTTTTCTCTCTGCCTCAGCTGCGGCAAGTCGATATTTCAACTGAACATTCTCCTGTTCCAAAAAGGCACACCTGATGGCGATTTCGTCCTCTTTGGCTCTTCGAGCATCTCTGGATCTTTTCGCGGCTTCATTGTTCTTCTTCCTCTTCTCCCAATAACTAGGATCTGCAATATGTTTGCTGGACTGAGTCCTCCTCATGTTCTTATTGGTGCCCTGGGCGTTCTGCACCTGGGACATCATTCTGTTCCTGAATTCTATATAGGCTTCTGACGAATCCTTATTCAGGATATCAGTGGTCGTTCCGATCAAAGCCATGGACAACGGGTCCTTGGGGTACGCCTTGAAGGGTCGGACAGACTTTAGCTTGGTGCAATTTGAGTTTATGTCTGTGCTGGAGACTTCCGAGCTGTCGGAAAATACGGATTGGGGACTGACGGCACATGGTGGTGTTTTTATCCGCTTGGGGTCAATGTAATATTCCGGGGTCAAGGGTCGCTTCCTGGTGCATAGGTCTAGAACTGGCGGATCGCGGTTTTCAGGCTGTTGGTTGTGGTTTGGCGTCATAGGTAAGATTAAGGGTAGGTATGTGGTGACTACTGGTCTTATTGTGTTCATCTACAAAAAAAAACAAGTTAAATGTAGTTTTACACAATTACACACTTGGAAGTTGCAAGCTTGTTGGACATGGGGGACTTTTGGTCGATTTTGAATCGCATAAATTCTGGCAGATCATTTTTTTTAACCAGTTCATTTCAATATTAATAGTCACGACTTAATATATGTATACAAAACTTTTGTCATAATGAGAAAACTTTTTTCACCATCCATAGGAAGTTCTCCTAATTTAAATTAGGTTCTAATTTTTTCATTAGTTAAATAACTACATAAGCGAAGCCAAACCTGTTTTACAATTATTGAAAATTATGTTTTTTCAACGACATATACAGGGGGAATTTTTGACAGTTAACAATTCATTTAGGATCTGGGTTTTCGTTGTTTTATAAAATTTTAATATGGTCATAATGCCACTAATACCAACCAAACTGAGTCTAATTGACTGTAATTCTTCTTATTGCTAAAATAACATTGCAAAGTTCGTTGAAAAATCAAAATTTCATTGTAAACTCATAAATTGCGAAAAGTGTAACAAAAAATTAAATATATTGCTTTGTTACTGGTTCATATACTTTCAATATCTGTCAGTATGTCTATGAAATAGAAGAAAAAATATTCAGGGTGAACTTTTCTGAATTACAACTAACAAATGAGATTTTTTCCAATGCTGGCTTGGAATATTTGAACTTTGACTTCAAAATTATGTTGCACTTTAGCAGTACGCATGCATACAAACAAAATCACGTGAAACACGAAACAGAAAATTGTGAACAAAATATTTAAATAATTAATTAATTTCAGAAATAATAATAATGATGGTCTTATTCTATTATTCAGGTTGTTCATGATATACTGCCAAATTTTAATAAAGGATTTTACGTGACTAATCAATAAAAAAGTTCTTGTAAACACTTGAAAGGAAATGTTTCGTTTTCTAGATAGTGTTGAAATTAAAAAAGTATATTATAATTATTTAAATACCTCTTAAGACGGTTGAGGCACATTGATGAAACTTGGGCTAATTACGTAACAGTAGATGTGGAGGCAAATAAGTATAATTTTAGTTGGTATTTCAAAAAAAAGAATATCTTCAATTATATTCGAAAAGACGGACCACTTTGAATTTACCTATTTTTAAATTTTATTTTTAAGTCTATCTGGTTGAAAATCGTAACTCCAAAATTATTTGTCTTATAAAAAAATATAGGAATTATTTGTTAAAAATAAATTTTCAGAAGTAGAATGTACGTCCTTCAGAAAATAAAAAATTCCCACACTAATGATTTCTTTGGATTTTTTCATAATTACGTTGTAGTTAGAATTATATTTCAAACAATTTTTTGTTGTGATACGAATAGTAATTGAATTATTTTCGATTTATTCAAGTACGTCGTATGAATACTTTAAATTCAAGAAAATAATAATTGAGCATTGTCTGGTTACTTGAATAAAATGAAAGATATCCTCTTTCTTATCGCACGAAATAAAATGCACCAATCCAATTTCCAAAATATTTAATGGCGTCGAAATTCTGGAGTTTTTAAAGGCGGTGCTTTCCTGTATTTACGCCACTGGTTGGCAGATTTGTGTGCGATTATAATTGATTTGTGACGTAGAATCCACTGTTAAAGTTTGGTAAAGTATTTCATTTACATTCTGGTAAATTATCAAAATTTTCTAAAATGATAGAATTATTAAAATAATTATGTTTCATTCCTGCTTTTCTATGTAAATGAATAAATGAACGAAAATGATGTTGTTTTCGAAAAATAACCGAAAGGGAATTAAATTTGTAGACATTTTTAGTAAAATATAAAATCTAGATAGCGACTATAGGTATCACCTTGCTTTTTTACTATTTTCAATCATCATTGATGATGTGGCTAATAAAAGTAGCTTACTTTTAATAATTTATTTCTTGGTTCTAATTCTGTTCTAATTTTGATTGAAAGTGAATAGAACTATACTATTTTTTCGGTCCTTTCGGTTTCTTATGAGAAAACTCATTTCAATTCCTACATGTTGCTTTCATCATATTCTTTTACTGTTGATGAAAAAGTTGCAGTGGGAAATATCAATTTTGGTGAAAGTATATGTGATTTTTTTAGTTTCTGTGAAGTTTTACTTACCATTTTCAATTTCTGCTAATCCAAAGTCGGATCAAAATGAAAATTTCCTCCAACCGCACTCACTACACTTCCAAATAGTAATGGCTTATCACACAGCCCATATCGCATTTATACGAGATGTCACTTGGCTTGAGGCACTACTGAAGAATTCGCCAATGGGGTTGAAGATTCGCAGGGATTTTTCCACCACCACAGCCCTGCTACTGGACATTCTGCACAAGTAAGGGATTGTGGCTAGTACCGTTACACGTCATATACCGTTCTGAGTCCTACCTGACCGACTGATGCGGCATGTCAAAAACGTTTGCAATTTTTAAGCGTTTTTTATGGAGGTGCAATGGGGTGGGTTGTAAATTTTTATTAGCACGGTTTCTGGAGATGTTAAGAGACGGCACGTGGTTTTTGCAAGAGGGCAACGGCATCGGGCAAACTTAAGATTTTGTTGTCTTGAGATAAACACTAGTCTCTTTCTCGATATATTCTGGGAAGCGCCAATTGTACAAGCTGTATAATACATTTTAATAAAAAAAAATACTGATATTTCTATATACAGGGTGTCGTGCGTAAATGTGATACAAGCCTGTAATTTCTTTATTTTTGAACGATTTCAAAATTTTTTTTTAGAATGTGGGGAAAAAAACTATCTAAATCTTTTCCAAAAAACAGATTTCGTATTCAACATCTCCTCAAATGTTTTATAACTAAGTTTCATCAAATTCGATACACCTTCAGGCGAACACTAGTTGGCCGTGTATTGCATTAATAAAAACAGCAGTATCACAGTTAGATAGTCTTTTTTACTCTGCATTCCATAAAAAATCCATTTTTCTGGAAAAGTGTTATCTAAATATTGCTACACAATCCTGGTCTTATGGGTGTGGAGCCCCGTCGTGCTGAAACCATAAGTTTTTCCTTTTTTGTAATCATGATACCCATTGGTCTTTAAAATTCATTGAACGGCTGATTTATCCAAATTCAATTCGCGGCCTAGACTGCCGTATAGAATCTCGTGGATTTTGTTCGAAATACTGTAACAGTCTAGCTGTTTTAACCTTCGGTCAATTATTTGATTTTTCCGAATAGAAAATGCATCTGCATTTCGTCACAAGATTGGCTCCAATCTTGTAAAGGTTCTATGATCCTTCCACCGCTAATGTGATTTTTGGGTGGTATTCCTTTTGAGACTCTTTAGGACGATATTGCTTACAACTTTTAAAAGGGAAGTAATAGAGAAAAATTTCTCTAATAAAAGTTTATTAGAAAAAAGAGAGCTNTCAAGAACTATCTAATACAATAACATTAAACCAGAACAATAACAGAAAATAACACTAATAAAATTTTGAAAAGGCGCAAAGCTACAACAAATGTTCAAAATGACCTCCCTCAGACGTGACACAAGATTCAACTCTTCGCCTCATTGATTGTCGTATTCGCGCAAATATTCCTGGTATATTTCTTATTGTCTCACAGCCGACTATAATTCGATTCCTCAGGTCATCAACATTTTCAACGGGAGTGGAATAAACTAATGACTTAAGAAAACCCCAAATGCAAAAATCAAGAGGATTTAAATCCGTCGATCGAGCAGGAATATTTGCGCGAATACGACAGTGAAGTTAAACGCAATCCCAATATGTTGTTTCAAACTCGCAGATCTCTCAGAAAACGTTGTGTAAAGTGTATCAGTGTCAACGTTGGATTCTTCGAATAATTAGTTTAAATCATTATTACATACCTACTTCATTTGTTTTATTGTTAATTGTTGTAATAACATGAAGAAACACTTGGTTTGTTTCGCTTTTAATTTTTTCTTGAAAACGGATCGAGATGCCGAAATACATAATTAATGGAAAAATGATTGCTCTTTCAGGTTTTGAATCAAGTTTCAAATTAGACATGCAGAGTAAAAAGTTATTAACTAAATTTTCGGTAAAATTGGTCGTAAGTGGCGTCCTCTATGAGCAACGCTGAAATTACAACACGCATCTTATTCGTCGCTTAAAAAAATATAGTTTCACAAATTTTCAAGTTCCTAGAATATTTTCAGAATAATCGCAAAAAAACGATTTAAAGTTTTAACTTTCAACACCCTGTATTTCGGAAACTATCAACTTTCGGATGCGGCATATTAGCGCCAATTCCTTGCGATTTTCTCATTGTTAATGAATCACCCTGTATAGTATATTATAAAATATAGATAGCACATATAAAAATATACGTGGATTGTAGATGTATTCGCGAATAAGAAATTAATGCCTCGCACCAAATTTGAACGAAGACTCTTCATCCATTTTCTTGTTATTAAAAAAAAACAATCGAAATTTTTCGAGATTTTTAACACCCCATATCTCAACAAAGAAGTTTCCGGTTTCCGGATAATGATTATAGGAACATTTTTCGTTAATTTGTGACGTAGAACTCGTTGTTAAAATGTTGGCAAAATTAGACAAAAATAAATAAAAAGTCTGCAAGATCTGTTATCTTTTTAGGAAGTAACATTGTGCAGGACGTCTCAAACTCGATAGTATGGGCCTGGACTGTGACAATACAAAATATTTAAATAAAAAACGCTTTCATACTACATACATATTACAATCTATTCTTTATATATCCTCTCATTTCAAGACACATATTCAATCTTCGGCTGACTTCTTTGTGGGCTGCGTTTATTAACATTTCGCCGTTTAACTCATTACAAACGTTTGTGATTTTTTCTTTCAAATGATTAATATCTCGTGAAGGTGTTTTGTAAACCTTATTTTTTAAACCCGTCCCATAAAAAAATCGAGGGAGGTTAGATCTGGTGATTTTCCGGGTTAC